ACGACGTGAGCCGCCTCCTCACACGAGTGACGGCGGTCTAGAGGAGGGAGAGGTTGCACCCACTCCCACTTGTGGAAAGGACGGGGAGGACGAACGTCCTCCGAYGGACCACCACGTCGGCCTCGACTGCCCGCCCGACAGTCTTCCGCCCACCGACGAGCTATTCACCATGGATTCCGCCTTGGCATCTCTGCCCGATATATCGCTACTGATATCTCCCACTTTGCTGGTTGTGGCACCACCGGAGCCTGCTAGACGAGATGACGCGCGTCGTGACAGAGGGTTCGACGAGTTCGGCGGCGACACGATACTCCATCCTCCAGAGTCCGGCACTCCCGCCATTTTTCATGTCGGTGCACCGTGGGTGGTGGAGCAGGGGTTGGCGGAGGAGGTAGCACGGAACTGTCGTGGTGGACTGCACGTCGCAGCTTTACGTAGTCTGGAAGGTTCACTAGAGGCAGCGTCTGGAGATTTTTTGGCGCAGGGGGGTCATGGTTCGCAGCTGTTATCGGACGACGTGTCATCAGTTCATCTACCAGAGGAGGGCCCGCAGCAAGAGCCACATCGAGGCCTCCCGGAGTTATCCGCTCGGACGGAGGCGAGGGCGTGAGCGAGGATACAGCGCAGCCAGGGAGCGCAGATGGTGGACGGTCCTTCAGGGGGGGCATCGAGCGCAGAGGGTCATCGACCGCACACCCCAGCATTGTCAGGCCCAGCACACATGACGTTGGAGACGGGCACACAGATGAGCCTCGACCGCATTTGACGGGGATGCGTGACATTATGTGTCCACCACCCTCACACCCCTCTGCCGCTGATCCTGCCGCCCACGGGCAGGCCGCGCCGAGCGCATTGCCTACAAGGTCTTTCTACGACGGTGCGGGCATGGACCGGAGGGCGGGCGATATCGGACAGACATCAGCATATGGACCGGCAGATGTGCCCGCGGGGGCGCGATCGATCGGCAACGTCGATGGCACTTGTCATGATTCCATGAGAGCTTACGAGGAGCAGCATGGGAGGCCTATACGGGCCAAGACGAGCGATGTCAACGACACCAGGACGGCAACTGTGAGGCTGTCACGGGTGAGGAAGAAGGGAACAGGTCTGTTGATTCCGTATCATCGGCGCCGCCTGCATCCTTTTTTCCGCAACAGGGACGAGACCAGACAGATGCCAGCTGCCGCAGATGGACGGGGGGGGCGGAGGGAGGTGACAGAGTGGACGAAGCAGGTCGAGGTGAGAAGAGACGAGGCGGCACGATCATCCTCCACGACGACAGCTCCACAGCCGCTGAGGGCGGTGAGACCACAGGCGCCGACGATCCTGATGACTCCGATTACGCCCCGAGGATCCGTACGGCGGACGGAGATGACGACGGAGGTCGTCGCGTGAGGATGAGGACTGGACCTGGCCCGGATGGTCATTGCACCCCAGCGGCACATTTGCCGCCTATTGATCGACGGGCGCAAGCTCGTTCTCTGCTGCGCAGACTGGGGGAGCAAAGACAGGCACGAGGGACATCACTGCCACATCAGCAGCCGGGGGGGGAATCCCTGAGACACGATGGAGAGAGAGAGAGAGAGAGAGAGACAGAGAGAGAGAGACTTTGTGTGTTCAGTGTTCACTGCTTTCTATCATTCTTCATTTGGCAAAGGACCGACCGAGATACCTGCCTGTATGGAATATTCACGAGGTACATATCTGTAAATATAGAAATATGGGCCCAGTACCAACTTCATTTTCCCTACAGGCTACAGGCTACTGCTACCCAAATTGCGAATAGCAGACCCGGGCTGCCCCTAGGACAGAGAGGCCCCACGGGCCTATGCTGATAGACGGTCCTATAGCCTATAGCCGGGTAGGGTTAGGCCCTAGAGGCCAAAACTGGTTAGTCAATCTGGTCTAGGTCGGTGTAGGCTATATGTACATTATAGATAGGATGTGGACACGAGAGGTCTGGGCTATCAGAGGTCTGATGCGTTGGAGTACGTACTGCACTGCTGAGTCAGTGCTAACCCTCCTCAGGTGTTGGGTCCCAGGCTCCCAAACTCCCAGTGGCGATCCAGCCATAGCTGCATCTTCTCAGAGATTATCATTGTCTGGACTTCATCTTCATCAGGTACTGTTGGCGGTGAGCTTCTACGTCATCATCTGAGTGGCGATCGCCGATTGGCTATGRGAGCCTATTTCAGTTTCGCGCAGGCCACTGAGTCGGATGTAAGGGGCCTAAGGGCGGCGCTGGGCCGCTGGCCCGCTGGGTGTTACCTGGGGTCGTGGGGAGGCTGGGGTTTCGTAACCTTCGTTGCTGTTTTTAGTTGTTCGGGGTGTTGGGGTTGAGGCGCTACCCCTTTTAGGGTAGAGCAACATGGTTCTGAACTTCTGAGGTTATTTTAGTTGTACGATGCTCCGAGTTCAATAAACAGTGTTAATACTGTGTTTGAGTTGTCATCTCTCCATTGCTTTCTCGTTGTGAATCTTGTGAGTCAGTGTTGCGACCACTCTGTTGTTATCTATGAATGATTGTTGTGGAGAGAAATCA